TGTGTATTTGATTGTCCATGATCTTAAAACAACTGTAAAAGATGTAATAAATCAGGTTATTTTTTAAAAAAAATTATCTTATTATATTTTATTTATTTTTGATTTAATTTTAATTAATTTGTCAAACAGCATAAAAATTTTCTCCGTTGCCTAAATAATAATTTTGCGGCAGGAATCGACTGGTATGGAATATCGCAAGAACCAGAAACAAATGCACTCATATCAGTTGGTGAATATACTGAAAAAGGAACACTTATTGAATATTTGCAACTAAACTGCATTAATTTGAATTGGAAAACCAGACTTAGTTTTTTATGGCAAATATCTAAAGACTTGCAATCTCTTTCGATTCTGGATTTGTTGCAACAGTATTAACAGGGAATTCATTTTGTGTGAAAGATAATCAGACTGTTGCATTTACAGATTTTCTATGTGTTGATAAAAACAATAAAGAATATAACGAAGTTAGGTTCTATTCGAGCACCAGAGTTATTCAAAGATTGGATTTTCACCGAAGGAGGCAATATATACTCATTTGGCTTAATAATGTATCATCTCTCATCACCATTTATGAAAGATATCCATGAGGATTCAAATTTAGACATTACATCCGAAGGTGCACCAAAATCCTATGTTACATTGATGAATAAATGCTTAAGCAATGATCCAACTTTACGTCCTACAATAACGCAAATTGTTAATACGTTAGGTGGATGGTACCTTGAAGTGGAGCGAAATATTGATACACCGATTGTTATTGAATTTCGAATAGCTGATGAATTCGATCCGGATGCATTACCTCTTATGGGCGAAGATATTTCTGTAAGATCTCTTTTATCAACCATCCGTAAACTCGGTGTTGATTTAATCGATATTAACCAATTCACTGATCGAAAATATATTGGAGAAGGTGGTTTTGGTTCTGTTGAAAAAGCTTTATGGAGACGAACAAATAAGTACATTATTTTGAAAAGGATTAAAAATATTTCAGCGATTAATTACAGAGAACATAAAGCGTTTATTCATGAATTGAAGATACATATTCGACTTGACCTAATGGACAGAATTGTGAGAATGTTTGGAGTATCACAATGTAAATTTAAATCATTATAATATCACTGACTATAAATTTATTCATTATTTAAATTTAAATTTTTTTTTTCAAATAGCTACAGATGGCTTTTTTATGGTTATGCAATATGCGAATGATGGTGATTTGGCAGATTTTCTTCAAAGTAATTTTAAAAACTTAAAATGGTTAGATAAATTCCGACTTGCATTAGAGATTGCTGAAGGGCTAGACTTTTTACATAGAGAAGACATTGTGCATAGGGATCTTGTATGAAATATCATCTTTTCTCTTTATCCTCTTAATACAAGTTATATTAAACTCTTTAAATATAATATTTTTGTAGCATTCTCGAAACGTTCTTGTCCATGAAGCGCATGCAAAGCTTTCAGATTTTGGGATATCGCGTCAAATTAACGCTGAGACTACAATTTTCGTCGGAACTTTTGGGCGGTTACCATATATTGATCCTAAGATATTAAATGATTTACACTATCCTTATGATAAACAATCAGATATATACTCATTTGGCGTTTTGATGTGGGAAATTTCTAGTGGTCAATGCCCTTTTTATGGACTTGATCCAACTGCGACTCATTTAAGCATAATCAATGGTAAAAGAGAAACAACAATTCCGGACACTCCTGAAGATTATCGTAATCTTTATGTTGATTGTTGGGATGGTGAACCTCAAAATAGACCTATAATTGATACGATAGTGAGACGATTAACAATCTTGAATGAAAATCAAAATTTAAAGAACGAAGATAATTATATTTCTAGTATATATTAAATAATTCTACCAAATAATTTTAATAACTCATTAGAATTCATCTTAATCATAATATTTGAAAATTTTTCTTTAGATGAGCTATCACTGTTATCCGAAACTAGTCAAACTGAGAACCATGAATTTTCACAAAGTTGGTACTTTTTTTTTAAATCTTCTCATAAATATGGAAATAAATTTGACGTTTATATTTTCAAATTTAGGCCTTCATATAATATTTAACGATTCTTCTGGCAATTAATCTGATCATATTTTGGAATACAATAACATTTTCAAAACCCGTATGCAAGGACGGATTAGGGATGACAAACGTTTTAAAACACGATCTTAAAAATCATGATTGTTTGATTTAAAATCTGTTAAAAAACGGTTTAATATATAAGATCCGATTGCGTAATTTAGATTCGTAATATTACTTTATTAGATTATTATTAACATTCAAAAAAATAATAATAATAATTCTTGGCTGAAAATTAAAACTAACCAATCAGAGGCAATATTTTCGGGTTCAGCCAAATTTTAACATCAGACGTCAATGTTTTAAAAAAAAGTTTAACTCAAAAAAAAAAAAAAACTGAAAAACAGTTTAACACAAGTTTAGTATCATATAGCTGCTATCCAATATTTATTTTCTGTATCTAGCCTTTACAATTCTACTATAAAATTATACTAATAAGCTTTTGAATCTCCTCAAGCAATTCCATTTTATAGTCTTCTTTCTTTTTTAATAGTATTGCTAAATATTTTTTACGTAAATATTTGTATTACAGTAGCAAACACGTATTTATGAGGTTTTCTGAATAGTTCTACCTGTGAAAAGGATAAATTGATCCTTTCATAAGTGAAATCTTTAGTGATATTGCAAATTTGATCAATTCAACTGGATTACGATGCGGAAATTTGCTTTATGAATTATAACTGTTTTTTCATGTTAAACCTAATTACAGTAAACTGATTTTACAGATAAAAATAAAGCTGGCTTTAATGTTAAACTCTAAATAGTGCCATCATACATTAACGTTAATGAATTAATAATTTAACAATTCTTTTGTAAACCGAGATTATTAAAAAACTGGTTCTCAGTAAGCCATTTTTCGTTGAAAAAATATTGCATATGTCGTTGATTAGCCATAATAATGGATAGTTTCACGTTGAACGTAAATAATTTGTGGACTTAATTATAAGGTTTACGAAAGGTAAAAACTGCAGCGCTAGAAACGAAAATGTAAGTATTTTGGCTTCAACCCATTTTATTCTAAATTTATGGCATAAAAAAGACCTTTAAAATATATATCTTTTCTAATAGCCATAACTTTCTAACTTGGAAAATTCATGATTATTCAAAATTAAATAGTATAAAAGTATTCTTAGCATCTGAATATTTAAGAAAATCAGAAATAACATTTTTATTTCACTAAAATATTCCATTTGACAAGATGAAGAGAATAAAATAATGCATTATAAGCTTTAAACTATGTAATTAAAAGTAAATTAATAATAAAACTATCTACGAATGTTTGAGATCTATTTACATCCAATCAACGCACGCGACTTTCCAACGACAATACAAATTGTAGTAAAAAATGATTTTAGTAAAATCAATAAACTTGGAACTAAATAAGGTGCGATGGTGCCAGCGATTTCTTCCGGCTGACACAAAACTTCTTGTCTTTTTATAACATATTTTCCATCATTGCCGTAAGTTAAATCTAATTTTATCATAACTCTAAGAAGAAAAAAAATTTTTTTGACATATGAGAAAACGTTTTCAGACATTTGTAGATATTTGTAGATAATCGAATTTTTGGCATTATTTACCGTATTGGTTGGTCGACCCAGAAGAAAACACCACGACGCGCAAAATGTGTTACGTCAATTACAACCTTATGGTGTTCTTCGTTAAAAAATACTTCATGAACAGTCGTTTTATTATCAGAATGTCTGTATCCTGAATTTGCACCCACAAAGATAAATATATGTTAATAAAATATCACATCATAATTAATATAATAAAGCAATTAATCACCTCTACAACATCGATTTAGTGCGACAAAACGGTCTCGAGAACACCGACCACTGGGAATATAAGTCATGAAATTTTTAAATTCAACTTGTTCACAATAATATTTTGCAACATCTTGTGAATTATAGGTATCTTTTGAGCCAAGAATAAGATCTATAATTTCTGGAATATCTTGAATTGGGTCGTTCATTTTTTTCGTTTTTTTTTTCGTTATAATAAACGAAAAGATTCAATGAATGCCTTATATATATTTTAACCAGAATATCTATAGTATATGGGAAATTTTTCAATTTGTAACTTTAAATTTTTTCACATGAATATCTCGTTTATACCCAAAGCTGGCAAGTTTAAGAATAACCATATAGATAATATTAATAGATGCTTTCTCTGATTGGATCCACTTATGGAAACATTGTACTCCTTATTCTCAGGTGAATCATTGCAATATACGGAACTAACAAGATTGTCTCTTATTAATTGACATAAAATAGGCAAGATCTCACAAACATTAGGTGGAATTAAAGTTAATCAAAACTATTGATGAATGGAACGCCCAGACTATTTAAAGTTAGACCACATGGATTAACTAACATTTTATACTAATATGATTAAAATACAAAGCTTATTATTAATTACCGAAACGACGAACGATTATTAGACAGATAAAGTTAATGCAATGCAGTGAGAAAATTGTGCGACGTGTGACATATTTCCAAGTGGAATTAGAAAATTCTCGACCACTTAAAAGTTACGCCAGAATTTGTTTTAATCGACCAGAAATTTTAGCCATTTTACAATACTGTAGATTTTATTGTACTGATGTAATGCAGTTCTAGAATTTTTCGTACAATGCTTTCTATAATACATTATTCATATAAAAATTCCGATTTCATTTATATTTTTTTCTTTTTTACCCCTATTTAGTTAATCATGAAATTCTCATTATGAGGTATAAGTTTATTTCAGGAAAAAATCTGTTAGGAGGTGAATTTGAATATTCCTTTATTGTCTTCTACTTGTTTGTTACATAATCTGTCTTTCGCACGAATATCTACGTTCGAACACTATAATTGTATTTATACGAGCCAATTTCGTTATAATGAACTCTCGATATAGTGAAGGCTAATTAAAACCCCGATACTGTGAAATTGGACTCAAAGTCGGTTTACATAATATTCTCTCGATATGGTTATTTTTAAAAAAGTTCTATTAATGGAATCTATCTCTTCACTATAGAATGTCTTGTTTTTCCATTTTGTCAAACATTCAAACTGTCACATGCAACTGCATGTCTTAAATGGTACAAACAATCAGTCAAATAAACATTATGTACAATAAATCTGTAAGGCGTTTAAATACCAAAAGAAAGTCTACTATAAGAATTCCGTAATGACAGGTCATAACACAAATGCATCAATTATTAAAAAGCAAAACAATAAATTATGTGTCAAATTTAAATTTTATTAGTGCGAAAGCTTTGAAGAAAATCTGCATCTGTGATACACAGTAATATTGAATACTGATACGTATTTCTAAAGAAGAAATGTGTGATGTATAGTGCAGATTAGTAGTATGCAACCCGAGCTCGTGCCTGTGCCCAACAAAGGGCACAGGCGTAGGCATGAGCATGGGCATGGGGATGGGCATAAAAAATTTGGCATAGGCATGGGCACAGGCACAGAAATTTAGGATTTATTATTTGATTGTGCCCGCACCTTATGCCAAGCAATTAGTGCCCATGCCTTAGTGCCTGGCATTCTGATGCCTATAGGCACAGTATACAGCACTAGTGCCCAGTCTGGTGTCAATGTGCCGGGCACGGCATTTGCAGACCTCTAGTACAGATGTATGATCGATGATGTACTTTTTTGTAGTACCCAACAGTCGTAACTCAAGAAATGGCCGATATGTCAAAAAGCTACAACTGATGTTTATCGTAATGTTAGATATAGTATTAACTTAGGTCGTAAATTCAGAGTAAGGTTCTGCAAATGCCGGCACAAACATGGACGTTATCTTTGATCAGCATTTACAGACTCTACTGATATGAAGAAGACTCATTCAGAAATTCTTTCCAAATAGTAAATTTGTTAACAAACCTTCGATGTAATGTATTATTTAATTTTTATAAAATGAAATTATTCTTTATTATCATATGTAATATAAATTCTCAAAAAAAAAAAAAGTCTATAAATAAAGGGTTGCTAACTAAATACATTCACTTCAAATCCTTTACACACTTTTGAAAATGATTAAGGCTTGAATTTATGTATCTCGTAAATTAACTTTCAAGAAAGTTAAATTACGTATGTTACATCCTGCATCACGTGTTATAATCAAGCCTTGGTTGTGACAAATGTCGATTCTTGCACGCTGTTACGACATTTTTGACGTAACCATACGTCCGCACCTCTAGTATCGTGCCAAGAAAGAACCAGACTTAAATCATATAAATTTATATGTGATCAAAGTCTGGTTTCTCTCAGCATCATATAGATATACTGCTACCATTGCTTCAAGTCGAGTCGCTGCAATGCGCAGATTTAATTCTAATTGTGAATAGTTTACTAAACAGTGAATACTGGACGTTTTATAATTCTTAACAAATTTAAAGAAAAGAAAGTAAGGCTTAATTGATGATTCGCGAGTAAATGAGAACTTAACACGGAGAATTTTTATAATAAAACATAGTAAAAAATATTAAGTCGGAATCATGATTCCTATAGTAAAAATTTTAACCTTAAATTGCTTATAACTTTTTATATATTTGATTAATTTTACCGATCTTGCTGTCATTAGAATCAGAAAAACAAGTTCTACAACTTTTATCAGAAGCTCACAGAATATTGGCTTAGTAAAAAAATCAACTTTACTTAGTCAGGAATGCTGATTTTGATATTTTATATGTG